TTCCTGAAAAGAGAAGTCATATGAGGGGGCAAAACATAATTTTAAATTCTAATAACAACTCAGAGTGGCTGTCCTGAGAATAAGCATGGATGCACTCATCAGAAAACATTTGAGATAATGGCCACTCTTTGGGAATAAGACTGACAGACCTACAGACCACAGATTTACAAGATTTGATTACTCTCTCATGGCTAAGGCTGCTTATGCAGTCATAGGATACCTAATTAGGAACTGAAGGAAAGGAAAGCCACATGTATTCCTGCACATTACAAATACTCTCCGCAGCCCCCAAACATTTTTTTGGAAATACACTGGAAGAGGCATCAGTGACTGACAACAAATTTTGTTCCTCTCAGTTTCTCTGCTATCCTTCACTACATCCAATTCAAAAAACCTTTAGGGCAACTGTATATGGTATAACAGCTAGCATAACCCATGCAAATTCCTGATCTTGCAGCTGCGGGTAGACTGCAAACCACTGCATTCACATTAATGCCCAATCACTTTATATTGGTTAGTGCTGGCACATTAAACACTGCAGAAAGGATCTATAATTGCATTTTATTATGCTACTTAAAAAGGGAATCACGCACTCCTAATTTATTCTTCTTCCTCCAGTGAAGATCTTTTAATATTTTTTAAAATATTGTTGTAAATCTGTATAACAAGGAGAAATTTGAATTTCTGTAGGTTGTTCTTCTAGGCTCACACTATGAAGCTCATCAATGCAATTGCCTTTCTAAACTGTTACTGCGTGCGGTGACATAGAACTTGCATGAAACAGACCCAGGCACAGAAATCAGGCATTTTGGAACAAGGTCCTCTCCCCTGACATCAAGAGTAAATGAGAAAGCAACTGCTGAATTATTCTTTACAGGAAAAAAAGAAGGGAAAAACACCCCTACAAAAAGAGGGGGAACACACCTACAAAAAATGGTCAAATTTTAAAGAAAAAAAAAATTAAGAGGTTGCAAAAAAAGTTTTTGCAACTCAGACTCAGTCTGCAAAGCTGATAAAATTTTTGCCAAAAAAGTTTTCGAACTCTTCCCTACTTGTCCGCTCCCCCTCCAAAGCAGTTTAGGACTAACTCCCCCCCCCCCCCCCCCCCCCCAGTTACATTTAAACTACACTGACAAGGAGTGAAAAAAAGAAAAAGGAGGCAAAAATCAAAGTTGGATTTCACAGCAAACACTAATGCTAGGAGGAATTCTGTCCTCCCTCCTCCTATCCTTCTCTCAGTGTATTTATCAGGTCTAGTCTCTTCAGTTGTACCACACTGAAAAGTATTAAAGCAGTGCATTCAACTAAATTATACACAACTCATTAACATAATTTCAATAATGAAGTCATGCAATCAACACATTTTAAAACTTACCCAAAGGCAGACAGGAATACACAATCATCATGCAAAATATTCGCTACTCTTTCAAAGGTTCTGTAATTGTCAGAGTCCTTTTGCTCAAAGTATCCAATAATATTTCTTCTGCTGCGCTGTAAAAACAAAGGTTAAATTATAACTTACCTCAAATTCTCAACAACTATCATTACTCCCTAAAGATATTAAATATAGAGGTGCCATTCATTCAACAGTCAATAACTATGCAGATGTTATTTCTTTTCTGTCTTTTCAATATTCAGAAGCATCCTTGTGAATGTTTTTCCAGTGAAGAACACTAGAAGTATCTTGTCAAATACAACATATGATCCTTCTCAAATGTTTAAAAGTAAAATAAGCAATTCGGTAGTGGAGTTATTGTAACAAAATGAATGCAGTTGAAAATTATTATATCGGAATAATTTGTAATACTGGAAATGATCCAGTTTTCGACTCAGTTTAAAAAAAAAACAACATTTCTGAATGGAAAAAAAAGAAGTAGTAAATATGTACTTCAAATAGATTATGTTTCACCAGTTCAACATTTAAAAAAAAAAAAGAATAAGAATATATTTAGAAGGTATAAAATTGAAAGACTTACATCAACAGAATTAATTTCTTCTAAATCCTGGACCTCCCGAACAGGGTTACTCTTTTGCTGCCTGATGTAATCTGCTATTGCTGTCACAGATCTCTGGCCCCTGTATTCTCTCTTCATCATCATCCCATTCCGGAAGAGTTTCAGAGTTGGGTATTTGCTTATCCTGTATCTCTGAGCTATATCCGCTAAAAAGAAATTAAGAAAATAAAACCAAAACCCTACAAAACAGAAATACACTGAACACTGTATCTTATATATGTACGTGTGCACGTAAGTGGAATCTCTGAATCAGCAGTTCCACATCTTTGAACAAGAACTAAAAAAACAAACCCAAACATTGCCATAGTGGAGAGAATGGAGAGCAGCTACTGTATCTCTCATGTACTGATCTTCATTAAAAAATCATGACCAAAATCTTGAGTAAGTAAAGACTCAACTTGGTCAGCTATACTTCTTTAGTACACTTCCTACAAACAACTAGGAAAGCCAATTTAACAGCATAACAAGAACATGAGAATCTTAAAAGCTTGCCAAATCTCTATTAATCCGCATGAGAAAATTTTAATAAAATAAATCATCCCCTATTTTTCTTTAAACTCACTATGACTTTTATCTCAATTACAGTGCTGGAAATATAATTGTCATGTCTTAAATTTTAGAGAGTGTGAACCCTGTGCAAAATATTTCTTGAAGTCTATGAAGGCCAGAAGACTGCTGTCACAGTTCTGAACAGTTCAGGTTTTGAACAAACACAAAATTTCAGGTTTTTAAATTAAGGCAAACACCTTTGTGGTCAACCAGTGTCAGCATTCCCTTCAAGACAGTTCTTCATTCATATCTATACATGCGGCCCAGCTTCCTTCTAGACTTGGACCGTACAGAGCTTTGTACAACAAAGCAATGTGTATTTGCTTTCATCTAGCATAAGAGCACTAGCTATTTCCACCTTTATATAACAGGTCAGTTAGTTAACTATAAGTTATTTATTCACGAGACTCACAAATGTAAAAGAATAATAAAAAATGGAAAGAGGTTTTCCAGTAAAATTAAAAGAGCAGTAAAAGAATAAAACTGAGCGGAAGCAAAAAAGCCCTGTCTCCCATGAATGTGCATCCTGTGCACCTTATCTTCAACCACTACTAAGGCAATAATCCCATTCTTCACTGCTCCCCACCAGAGTACTCCAAGTGCCCCTTTGTCCCTCTTCCACTTTGGTTAATCACTGGGACAGCAAGTTGCAATAGGTGTTGCAGCTAGTTCCCAGCTACGCATTGACAGGGAAACTTATACGTAACCAGCAAATGGTTCCATGGCACAATGAGCATGACCCATCAGCCTCGAGTTTTTACAGCAACCTTTGCTACAGTGCAGAAATTGGTTTTGTGCTTCTCCAATATCCAGAAACCGCTTTAATCAAAGTTCATTGAGTACTTAACAGCTTTGAATGTTCTTCCCTCTTTCAGATGTGGTTGAAGTTCAGCAAAAAGCTTCAAGGAGTTTTTATGAGGAAGGACTGGAGAAACAAGGTAACCAGGTACACTTTGGATTCTTAGGAAAATGAGACTAAAACCAAATAAAGCATGTAATGCCAAGTAGACTTCTGCAAGCACTTTCCTTTTACTTTAATTATGCCCTCCTGTTCACTCCTCCCCTGAAAATACATCTAGAAGTAAAAAAATTTTCACAGCCCCTGTGAAAACTGGGTGTCCTCTATTAGAGTGGGATGCAGTTTACCTAAACCTCAATCATGTTTGTATCTAAAACCAACTAAATCCCAAAATATGAGCAGTCTGCCCACTTTCCAGAGCTGCTTAACCTTTGAGGTGGCTCATTCCAGTCAACCACAGCCACCCCGCTTCCCCATCTCCCTTTCTCTCTCAAGCACAAAGAGAAACAGTGAACTTCAACGGACCGATTTCTCCTTTGGAGACAGGGAAGTTTCATCCAGTCAACAGCGAGAGGAAGGCACTGAAAGTCTGGGCTGAATGCATGTCCTGTTACTTTTCACTGACTCCTTAGAAGTCAAAGGATACACTTCAGGTGACCTGGCTTGGCCCACAGCAGGAAAGCAACCAAATGAGCGTCCACCTGGCACAGTACTGAATGACATAAAAACTAATCCTTTCTGACAAGAATGTCCTTTCTTCTCAATTACATACTTATCATGAAGCAAATTTGCTTTCTATCTTACACTTACTCTTTGAAGTCCTGTAAAAACTACTATTTAGAGGCAGCTGCCATGACCAAACTGTTGAAGCTGAGCAGCTAACATACATCTCTCAGCTGCAAACCAAAATGAAAAACCTGTGCAACTGGAAATAAGTCAGTCCCCTGTGGAACTGTGCCTGTAAATGTCCTCCAGCACATAAAGCTCTCTACCTCTTGTGGTCTTTTAAGAGATAACAAAAACAATTAATTCCCTGCTGTCTGGAGAACACTCTGTGAAAAAAAATCAGTAGTTTTAATTGCTATTAAAAAGCCATTAATCTCTTGCAGCTTTAGTTACTGAAAACAATCTTTGTAGCAGCTACACAACTTAAACTAGTCCAAGAACTGAAAACAAAGCGTGCACAGCAAAGGAATAAGAACCATGTCTACTCCATAACAATATTCTTTAACATCCCTCAAACCAGTAAGCTTAAAAGCTTCACCAGCTAAGCCCAGTTCCTAACAAGCTTTGCATCACTATAAAATATTACACAATTCAGCCTATCAATTCTGATTATGAAAGGATATGACCGGTTTCCTAAATATCCCAGAAGACTTTCTTAGTGCACTAATTGCAGTTAAAATTAAGGGTAAGACATTTTATCTCCTCAATTCAGAGTACTTTTATTTCAAATTAATATAAATTTCTCAAGGGAAGATGACAATATATTCAACATTAACAAGTATTAAATCAATACTTTTTTCTTCCTTTAAAATAATGTGACTTTTTAGTTAAAGTACCTAAGAGCTGCCTGCAAGAAGGTGGCAAGTATAGTGGGGGAGGAACCACTTTATATTTGCTGAGCATCAGCAAACAAGGCATTTGCTGCCCTTCTCTGCTGCTGACAGAAGGACCTTTGGTCTGACAGTATGTCAGTCTATCAAAACTTGACCATGGTCCAATAAGAGACAAGGAGGACTATATATCAAGGTTTCACAGAAACACACTGAGATTCAAGACTGTTACAGTAACAGAACTCCACAGCAAGAGAACACCAAAACTACACGTCTGTCTCACAACATGGACTTTTTCTTTCAGGTTATTTCCACAGTTATATGAGGATGCATGGGTTGCAGAATGGGCATTCAGGGGGTCTTCAAGGTTCTCCAAGACGGAGACTGCAGTCCCTAGGAATGTGAATCTTCATCAAGTGCTGAAGTTACATAAAAAAATTAACGGTAAGAAAATGCCCACTGTCAAGACTGAATTCAAACATTATTTCGTAAGTCAGAACTTGCATGCTCTTTACAAATTACATTGAGATTCCATGAATACTGGTATTTGAACTAACACAGAGAGATGACGGTTCTACACAAGTAAGTATTTGAAAACCATCTTTTTACAAAATATAAAATGCAAGTACATGAAAAATTGTTTGAATTAATTCAAAAGTCAAATAGAGTAAACCTTAAATGCTTCATTAAACTCTGGCATTTGATACAGGTAGAGTTAGCATAAGCAGAGCAACTACAAAATTATATTCCTTTTAAAATTGGAAATACACAATGCAAATACATGGAATATTGTTTGAACTCATTCACAGATCACATTAGTTATAGTAAATCCTAAATTAAATTAAAAAATATTTCCAGACATTCTCACTGTCCATTTTCTAATGAAAAGAGGTATTTTAAATGGATAAGGGTAACTTACCTAAAGAAGAAGAAAAAGTCTCTCAGCTACAACTTTACATTTTCTTCAGGTACTAAGGAACCCAAGAGGTACAAACCTTAAGTTTGTGTTTTGACCAATTAATCATTAAATCACAAGACTAGTGTCTATGCCACCAGAACAGTTTCACACTAGTTATGATAGGAAGCTACTGACATACTTGATCTTCTTCTCATCTTCTACAGATCAGAAATTTCAAGCAGAGCTCCAATAACTGTTGAATTCAGATGATTCTCTCCTCCCTGTTCTGCAGGTATACCTGTTGATATACAACCATTTCTGAACTGCCCAGACTATTCATTCCACACATTCCAACAGGAATGTCTTAACAGTCACTCAGTTCTTTCATAGATGCACTATACTGATACTTCTGAACTACTGAAGAGAAAGCAAAGCTGCCTCTTACAATAGGGATCAGACAGCAGATTTTACTGCTGTTTTCAAAGAAACTTTTACATAAAGCCTGACATTTACACCCATGTCTTCTAAGACAGTCTCCCACATCGTCTTCTGAGCAAGATTCTCCAAGAAAATGTGCTTTATGAACTATCACTTGTGATCTGTATCTCTATCATATCTCTTGTGCTGTCAGCTTTTTTTCTGTTGTCTGAGCCTCTTGTGTTCATCTACTCAAAGGAATGCCAAAACCAATTTTTTGGGGGTGTGTCAGGCTTTTCACATGGCGCGTATACCTAAGCTACAGCTTCAAGCAAGCATGCAGCCTGTGACTTGATTCCCAGAATGCTTCAAATTTCATTGCTCTAGGTTAACACCACAACACACTGTTGAAAGGGTTCTGCTAGTATATCAGATCACTTAACCAAGAATCTCAAGTGCATCATCACTAATTAAAATTAAATGTACAATGAAGAATATGTTGAAAAATTGCATTAAGACACACTATATTGAAGTAGGCTCCCACCCAAAATGAGTTAAGCAGGTCCTTCCCACTGAAGGGCCAGCAGTATTTACAAGGATCAGGGAATCACCCCACTATTAACTCAGTCCACTGTCTTAGTCTTCCAGGGTCATAATTCATACGACCACCAAACAAATATTTAGATTTTAAGTCTACACAACTGCCTCTCAAAAAAAAGGTGCCCACTAGGATTTGAACAATACTGATCATTATCCTAAATGCCCACTTCATAATATAATGCACCACCTGAAGCAATTCACATGCCAAACAGAGGACTAGAACAGCCTGAAAAATTATCTGGAAGAAAATCAAAGTTCCAAAACTCAAACCCTGTAAAAATAATTTCTGAAAGTACTCGTAGTGTCTCTTTTTCTAAGGAAGGTCTT